CCACTTCCCGCGCACCAATCGAAACGTTTGAGGTGTCATTAGACGCGTCTCGGTCTCCTAATGGGGAACTGATAATTTGTTTTTGGATCACGCTAGAAGATTTAAAGAAATGTCCAAAAACGTGTTTTTTCAAGTTTTGACGCTGCGACCTTAGCGATAATGCCAGAAATTAAACCAACGCTTCTTAAATCAATCTATGTAGGTGGAATTGATTAAATACCAGAACTCAAAGGCATTTTTTGCTTAATACTCCTTAGTTTTCTTTCACGGCGTTAACTACACTGATGTTAACGTCTTTAGGTGAACAATTCAATTATCAATTAAATCGCGCTGCAGTTTGATTTCAATTTAGAGTCGAATTATTATTGTATGTTTGAAAATAAATTTGCGAATACCTACGAACAATATTGCCATGGAACTTATTGAACTTGAAGAATTTCAAGTGAATTGGAGAAAACAAAACCGCGAGTAATGCTAGAGAACGTTATGTTCGACCTCGCACTTATATGTTCTAATGCACTAATTAAGGGGACCCTTAACTTATTCTTATTCAAATGAACTAGCACAGTATTTACATAAAAACACAAAATAGTCACCTTTTAATATTACATATGCATGCTCCCATAGATTCGCATACAAAAGGATTAATAGAGCAATTGCCGAAGTAGAAGTGAACACAAATCAAACTAAGTTTATGATATTTTAATCTCTTCAAAGTTAGGGGTGAAAAATGTGAAAGTGTTGAGGAAATCCAGGAAAGAATCAAAAGTTGCGATACAGCTTCCGAGGAAATACGGTCTCCCCTAAGCTAACAGACGCATACACGTAAAATAAAGCATCAATTCAATTCAATTCATACATGTCATTGCAGACGATGAACGCGCGGAATTGAACTGTGATCTGCCACTGTGTGATGATCGACTTAAGCAGGAAGTCACAATGTATATAGAAATGATGAGTAATGAGACAAAAAGTAATTTCGCAACATAAATTAACTACGAAGTGTGATTACTGAAATTAAATGAATTTTTAACCGGTTAGTTTCTTTAACATTTCTGATGTTCGCAAGCCTGGTACACACTAATACAGAAATATGAAAATATACTGTGGGACATAAAATATTGCAAATTCGTTTTGATATGTAGGTAAATTGAGTAAATTAGACAGTCCTGAAATAGTAATTTACACTACTGAATAAGAAAGCACACATCGCGGCCCCGGGTTCGGTTCCCGGTCGAACCAAGAATATAGTGCGTTTTCGTTGCAATGTCTCAGTATGTGTTGCTGTGTGACGATGAGAAAACTCACTTCTCAGGTTGATATGCCCGAACACTGCATAGGGATGTCTTCGAGGTAAACAAACGAAACCTTTAAAACCTATATGCAGTGAGGCCGGGACGCTGCTCATAGACCCTGGCCCGTTCGCGGGCTGTTGCGCAGACAGACAGGCACGCCCTAAAAGCAACCCCTTTACTAGAGGTTGTCTAAAAAATAATTTTGCCCACGTTTAGCGTCTACCAGCCCACCGTACACCAACGCCGCCGCCGCCGCCGCCATAGGCTGCTGCGGTAAGCTTTCGCTGGCGACACGCGGTGGCTACGAAGTGACAGATGGGGCGTTTTTGAGCTCGGCCGCCCCATTAGCACAGCCACCGCGAGGGTGCTAGTTAGTAATGCCATTTAGCACATTACTGCTGCATGTGCAGGTCTCTCTCTACTCCCGGTGGAGCACATTGCGAACAATGCGTGAACGTGCTGGAGTAGAAGCAGGAAATCATCTGTTCCAGTCTGCTTATCTGATATCATACACAGTGAGACAGGTGAGTGTGTGTTCTCGTGAGTGAAATGAGTAAGCAGTCTTAAAAATGTATTCTGAATTTGAAGTATCTGTTGTACAGTTGCAATTATGTTCGTCTAAATAACGTCAAAATCAGCTGATAAATCCATGAACTACCGCTTGTCCTGTTCGCATTGTTTTACTGTTAAGTAAAATGTGAAGGAGGATTTCTCTCGTTCGTATACACAATTACTTATGTATTGCTTTTATTTTTTGTCTATCGCAGCAGATCTTTTAGATCTCTTGCAGGTCACAAAACGTTTTAACAATATAAAAGACACACCTTATTACGAGAGGAAATTAATTTATGTTGTGCCAGAATGTCATTTTAGGTGTATTATCACGCATTTAAGCAGTAAACACAAAATGAAGTCTCCATTTCCTTAAGCGAAATTTAGAGTTACTGGATTTCAGAGCACACAGTGTTGGTTAAAGGACGTATTGATTGATCCAGTATTGGATAAGGCGATTTCAAGAGGCAGTCATGCTTTTATATTGAGAAATGTCTCCTCAAAATAAACAACAAATGTAAGAGATATGTAAATACGTTAGAAAATATTAAACAAGCTCTTATTCAATTTTAGGCAACTACTGGATGTCAAACGTGGTGCTAAGTGTGTCACAATGAAGAACGTTAATTACCACACGTTCACATAAAACTAGACGTCCAGCATTCTTGCAGAAAATAGTGTTTTGATTACTTAGTAGAAATATCAAGAAGAAGCAGAAAGAATGATTAATATATACTTTTGAAGTAAGAAATTGACTTATTGTTTTTTTGTTCTTCAACCATCTTTCATACTGAAACATTGTAGAGAAAATTAAAAATATCTTACGTTGTAAGTTGTAAAATACTTTCTTAGATAATAGAGAGAATCAATTTTGTAATTATTAGATATTAACTTTGTAAATCTGTACCCTTGAAAAGTTGTAGTACAATTCCTACGTTACAGGCTCAATATTTTCTCTAGATATTTCATATCCCAAAAATGGAAATGTACTGCACGTTCATTGCTTTAAGGAGAAAATAATTGCAATTAAAACACAGTTTTGGTGCAGCGAGAAAGAGGTCATCTCGAAAGAGAATGTAACTGCAAGGAAAATTCAAACAGTAATTAGAAATTAAAGATTAACTGGGTGTTCATTTGTTTGTTACCATTGCCTAAATTTCCAGAAAAATGGAGTGCTGACTTTGTGAGTGAATGCTTCGCGTTTGTGTCATCAATTCAAGAACTCGCAAATAGTAAAACTCGCTTAATAGTATTACAGTATTAAAAGTATAGTTAAATTATTAGTGTGTATATATTTGACACATTTAGTAAACTGCCTGCCTATGGTGGCCAGTAATGGTGTCTACCATGCCTGGGTCTAGTTTAACTCCCAGACTTGGGAAGTAAGACAGACATGTGGCAAATATGACTTATTCCCTTCACCGTAACTAGCAAACCGCCAGTCTGAGCTTTTCTTCGTCCCACAGCTTCAGACACTTGAGACGGTTTTAAAAGAAAGCTAGAACGATATTTGCCCCGACTGGGGCTTGTACCCAGGATCGAACCACGTGATGCTAGTAGCTGCCCATGTGCCACATTAGGGTGTAGCACATATATAATTTCACGCTTATTAGATAGTTGAAAGCGTTTTGACGTGTTCTTCAAACTTCCTTGGTTTCTAGAGGTTAAAAATATTGATATATTTTATGAGATGCTGTTGATTTTGCTGAGCTAGATGACTGTCCTGGTTTACGGTACCATACGTTTGAATATATAACATCTAAAAAGCTATTAGAACCTGCGGGTTAAGCGTTTGAGTGTGCATTGATGAACATTCAACTCTTTATGTTCTGAAACGTGTTGCTTTGAAACGAGTTGTTCTGATTCGAACGGTCATGAAATAATGTCCTGAGAGACGTAATAAGTTCTAATTAATTCTCTTGTCTATTCAATGTCAATTTAATCCTCATTGCAACTAAAGAAAGTAGCACAATACTTTGATTTCCTTATCAATTCTGCACAGGGTATGTTTTAATCGAAATCCCAAGTATACTAACGTATTGACGCATCAACGCATTGTTTAGTAAATGACGGATAACAAACACTTGACACCAGGCGAAAGTACCTTTTTGAAGCACTTTTCATGACTAGCCTTGGTTTTTACAAAGCGTAGTAAGATACGCCTTCGGTTTCCGAGAAATACAAGGTGTCTACACACAGCTTTGCTTCATGTCGTCTGCCTAATTGCTTGATCAGTTCTGCGTTGTATCAGTAGAAAAATGAAGTACTACTCACTTCATTTACATATACTGACGCACGTTACTTTTTTTGCGTTGAATTTTGCGATTGATGGGCGATTTTTTTTAAATCTCTGACGCGCTTAAGTCAATAACGCAAGAGCTTACAAAATTGGTAATTGTCCCCAATCGACCATTAGAAGTTGGGCACCAAAAGTGAAAACTGAAGTAACATTAAGAAATTATTTTTTTTCAGTATTTTTTGTGTATAAAAATTATTTATTTTTGCCACAATGGTGTTTTAATTTAGCATCGACACAAAGGCTGAAGGCATTTGACCTGAGAGCTTTTTGTTGCCCGAGATTATTAGAACCAGATGACATCTGTGTTGTATACAATGTTTTACTTTTTTACCAAATTTTAATGATTTAGAGTTACTTATTTACTAGTTAGCAAGACGATGTTAGGTTGATTCGGTTCGCCTTTTCTTGTATTTTGCTCCCATTATTGGCTTTCACATTTCCCTTCGTAAGAGAACATGTAGCATTATTCAACTGTATTCATATTTCCCTTCTAACCACAATATTAGCGATCTAGGTAAGTTATGCAGTGTATATCGAGCACCTTATTTAAACAATAATAACATATCAGTTAGAAATAAAATTGTTTTCGTTCAAACTCTAATACTCATGTTAGAGCCTAATGTCTACAAAATGGTAGCGATGGTGGTGGTGGTGATAGTGATGGTGATGGTGATGATGGTGGTGGTGGTGATGGTGGAGGTGGTGGTGGAGATGGTGATAGTGATGGTGGAGACTGTGGTGGTGATGGTGGAGGGCATGATGGTTGTGAGCTTGGTATTTGTCGGGGTGATGGCGACAGAAATGGTGATGATGGCGATGGTGGTGATTGCGGAAATGGTTGTGTCGGTACTCACCGGTGCAGAAGCGCGGCTCGTCCGACTTGTCGCCGCAGTCGTCGACGCCGTCGCAGTAGCGGTCGAGGCGCACGCAGCGGGCGTTGCGGCACGGGAACTCGGAGATGCGGCAGGCGGGCCCGCCCAGCGCCAGCGCGGCCACCACCACCAGCAGCGACGCCAGCAGCCCCGCCATGGCGCCGCCCGCGCCCACGCACGCCCACGCCCACGCCCACCGCCCTGCGACCACACAAACACACATTACTCCTCGTCCCCTAATAGGCATCGGTGGCTCAGGGCATCAACTGATGGCACTGCAACGCCTCTCATCTGGAGGTCCTAGGGTTCCACTCATAACGTGAAAATAGAAACACAAACATATTTATTGAATATTCAGTTTGTTTTAACATTTTTTAATCCAATTTTTCTATTTTGCTTAAATTCTACTTTTATTAAATTCATATAATTATTCAGTAATATATGAAATTTTAATTATAAGAGTTTCTGTTTTAAAATTGTTTAATCCAATTTTTCTATTTTGCTTAAATTCTACTTTTATTAAATTCATATAATTCTTCTGTAATATATGAAGTTTTAATTATAATTGTATTTTGGGTGTATTGTTTTTTTGTAACACTGAAGATAGCTGCTATCTGACCGAAAACGCTTTTTGGCAAAATAAACACCCAGAACCAAACAACGCCTCATATCCATTTCCATTTGGAAATAGTTAAACAGTTTTCAATTTAATATTCAAAATATCAAAAGCTACGTCGTGAATTGTTTTGCAGCTTTCCACACAAAAAGGGAGTGTTGTGGAGGAGTTGTTGTAAAATTCAGCACGTTTACACCTTGTTTTGGATCGTTTCTACCTTAACTTTTTAAGCCATTTGGAGTGTTTGATTGAGCCATTATCTCTTGGCGTTTGTGTCAGTGTGTTCGACCTACAGGAACTGTCGCTTTCAGTGTAAGCCAATTACCTCCCTAGACTTGAGCACCACCTCGTGTCACATGAAGGTGCTCGGCATTTTCCGTGGCATGCGACAAAGTTAGAAAATTACTCAAAACACTTTCTAATTGCTCGGGATTCTGAGGTTAAAACGGGGAAGGAATGAGATGGCATATTGAAATTATATTTTATATGCCCTGTTATGCGAAGTAGTTGGCAAAAACGTTTTTTTGGTATTTAATTTTTTCTGCACAAATCGTGGCAATGCACATTATATATAATATCCTACGTGAATATTTTTCTCTTTAATTACGCACCTCAAAGTTATTGTTTAATTTTTTTTACAGATCTAAAAAGAATTGTCACAAGAAACGCCATAATTTAAAAGCTACATTAAATAGGGTATTTCATGTATGTTTTCGATATTAAAGAAGCAAATTTTAGAGCGTATTTTTGTTAGTTTAATTTGTCATACATTTTGTCATCGGTAATCTTCAATATCCCATGTTTAAAACTACAGGGTAGAGTAATGTAATGAAGGTATCCTATCTATTAGGATAAACACTAGTTAGTACATCACAAGCCTCCGGCATTGATGTGATTATCGTGCGTCGCACATCGTTACCAAATCGTGCATATGTTTCATTTTAATGTGTTTTGAGTAAACGTTCTGAGTATGTTTGTCAACTCACAGTCACAATAAAACATACTAAGCCGCAAGCGAGATGTAAATGGAAAAGTGGCCATTTGTTTTGGGACATGAAGCCCACGCTAATTGAAACAAATGTGTCGCCTGGGAAGCAATGTTTGGGGTATCTGCCTCCAGCTCTGCATTCTTCCTGAATGTTGACGCATCATTTTCATTATCTATCGAGTGTGATAACTTCATAATCAGCAACATCATTTAAGGGGCCTTTTTGGAAATACAAATTTTCAGCTAGTAATGATATTATATCTACTGTAATAGTTTCTGGAAATGTTTTATCATGTCACGTGAATTTAATAATAGTCAAGCCATAAATTAAAAAAATGAATATAACTCCAATGTTCATATTTTAAAATAGCATATTCATAATCATAACCAATAATAAATAATTTATTGTTAACTTAACTTCTCAATCGAAATTCTAATACAAGATACATGAAAAGTACTGATATATTTGGTACAAAATATTGATATTTGCAATGTTGCATTCAGCGTAAATTTCTGTTAGGCTCGCCTGAATATGACAATGCTAAATCCGACTTTTCGAGCTTGTTGAAGCTAGTTTGGGTTTGCATAGGGTCATTTCAGATAGAATAATGTAATATCAGTGCGCCGCTGTTGTTTCGCCCTATTGAGTTCAGTAATGTTTGATACAGTTATTGAAATCTTGTCGAAAGTTCAATTTTCTTGCTTATTGGTACTCTGTTTAATTTCTATGAATCTTCAATTCCTTTACTGAATCTACAACACTTCAAAATATCTCGTTGACAAGTCAAGGTCTCTGAGAAAAAATTACACATTTAATCTAATTTTTACATTCACTGCTAAAAAAACAAGTAGTTACATACATGCAATATCATCATCATCTCCCATTTTTGCGCCACTTGGATGATGCCTGATACCATGCCATTTCTTTTCTTCTTTATTCAATATATAAATATACGATCCATTGCAAGTCAATTTAATGAATGAAACAACGTTGAATCACAGAACAATGAATTTTCACGTTTGTGAAAGTATTACCAGGAAATTTTGTTCTCTAAATCAATACTGATAGTCTAAATATTTGGCTAAGTAGACCATTTATTGAAAAACAATAACTGTGAAGAACCAAATTTATGAAACCATTTCTGAAGATTAAGTAATCGTGAATTGTATATTCTTTGCAGTTTTCATGTAGTAAAAACATTGGGAAACGTCTCAAAAGGAGCATTTTCTAAGCAATTTCATAAAGCGAGAAACGAAACATACCAATTTAATTTTCGAGGCGGCAATATTATTTGAATTTCTAATGAGCGTGTACACAGCACTGACTGCAGTGACATCTAACAACAAGTACCTTATGAATAGATTTTCATTTCCTTCATTTTATTATTTTCTCCGAGTATTTAAAATAAAGCGCCACGTTTGGACCCGACTACGCTGCTATCTCCCCAAGATATTCTACAAGCATGTTTCTGACATTTTATTCTGCAGCTCATTTCACCTGCCCCGTGCCTCTTATTCTCCTCGTGCTCCATTGCCCGCCTTCCGTTTCCTCCCCCTTTTCTCCGTTTCCCATGCAACGTTTAGCTTCCAGTCGCCCCTCCGCGGCACCGGAGCGTGTCCAGCGCGAACCGCGGCGAGTGTGTCGTTTGCCGCCAATCGCCCATCGCCCATTGCCCATTGCCCGTCCGCTCACCGGGGCGCTCCGCCGCTCGGGCGCTCGCTGCTTAGCGCCTCCATTTCGCGCTCCAGTTGGCGCGCGCGCCCTTCCTCCCCGCCCCCACCCTCAATGGCCCCCGCACTCCTT